TAGTAGTGTCAGGAAAATTCTTATAATTCTCGAATGGAATAAACTAGGAATGTCGACCTTGTGTTGATCGAAAGAGAAGAATTTTTTCTATCAATTAGTTTTATTATAGGTCTAAATCGAAAAAAGAAAATAGTTTCAGAATATTGTTTTCGAAAATCTTCGTCAATAACTTACTGAGTTACGCCTATGAGAAAAATTACACAAAGAAATAATTTACTTGATTGGGAGGTATTTGATCATTGGCATCATCAGAAGCCAATGATCGTATTGACGCAACTGATGGAGATTGTGGTTTAATAATATCATCACCAGCAAAATCAATTGTTTGAATAATTTGTAGTGGAGATCGTTCTGATGATCGACTTGATGGTGAAGTTATTGAAGAACTATGAGACGACATTTTATCAGATTGTTGTCGTTGTCGTTGTTGTTGTTGTTCTTGTTTTTGTTGTGGAGTAGATGCAATAGTTGATCTTTGTTGATAAGTATTTATGATTGGTGGAGCTGGAGACTGTCTTATTGTTGAACTACTACTAGTACTACTTTGAATACTATCGGCACGACTATTTTGTCGTGGTTGAACACTAGCATAGGCTGGTGGTTGTATAGGTATTTGATTATTATTATCATCATCATCCTCATCATCAAAATCAGTATGTGAACGAGAAGCAGTTGAAGGACGACTATGTGATTGAGGCAATAGAATTTGTCCTTGTGGAAATGATGTAGGAGTTTGTTGATGTGATTGTTGATTTATAGATGCAATTATATCACGAAGATGATCTACATGTTGTGAACTTCGATCAGATCCTGTAACTGATATTGGTCGTTCAGGTGCTTCCGGTGGATAATGAAGATTTTCTGTTGCTTTATGCCATTGATTTGGAAATGGAGGAGCTACTGGAACAGTTCTAAAATAAATGATATATATATATTTTTTTTTTTAAATAACATTTTCTTTTTTCATTCTAAATGAACATACCCATGTACAAGAGTATCCCATGTCATTTCTTCATAAGCTTCTTCACGTGCTTGTGATGGTCGTTTAATAATTTGCTGCTGTTGTTGTTGTGGACGATTTGTTGCTTGTTGAAAAATTCTTACTAATTCATCATTTTTTCCTGTTGACATAACACTTTCACTTCTTGGTTTTTCTTGTGGTCGTGTTGATGTAGCTTCAGAATAAATTCTTACTAAATTTGAAACAATTGGTTGTGCATTTGACATACTCGATGAACGAGATGATCGTGTACTAGTTTTTCCACTAGTACCAGATGATCTACTTAGTACATTAATAAGTGAAGCAATTCCATGTGATTTTGATCCACTTGTTGTTGAATCATGACCATTACTTTCTGCTGTACTTGATTTACGTTTATCTTGTTGATTTGGCATTTGTATTGGTGGTGGTGGTGTTGAACTAATTGATTGATATGTAACAGGTTTTTTAGGTGTTGGAACTGATGTTATAGGTTGAACATTCATACGCCATTGTTGACTTAAAATAACATTACGTGGTAAATCATTCAATTCGATGTCGTCAACCTAGAAGAAAATGCTTTATTTCTCGAATGTAATACTTTTTTGGTAGATTTAATGTTGCAATAAAAAAAAAAAAAAAGAAAAAAATTCCAATGAAAATAAGTCACTTCAATACTTTTTCTTCTTTTACTGCTTTATGTTTGTTGATCCTTACTTACGAACATTTTCGAGGACAATTATAAGTATTCTTATCATTTATGTCTTAAATAGGAAGGTCTTTTTTCTTAGTTATTAAAAAGTTTGTTTTTTTGTCGATAGGAAAAAAAAATTAATGCATATAATAAAAAAAAAAAAAGGATCACTCATCCAAATGATATCAATAAAACTTACTTGTTGTTGACATTTTGGACAAGTAAATTGATTATTATTAATTAATTTATCTCGAATACAATTTAAGCAATATGTATGTGTACATGGTAATACTCGAGGATCTTTATATTCACCATTACAAATTGGACAAGCATGTACAGTTTCTTTATGTATAGGTGCTGGTGCTGCACTACGTACATTGACACCAAGTCCACCATTATTACCGATATTATTTTTATTACTCATAGTATTTGAAGAATGATTTAATGAAGAAGTTTTTGATTGTCCACCAGTACCGTTATTATAACGCGGTATTGAATAGTTAGTTGCAACACGAGACATTTTATCTTTTTATTCTTATACTGAGATTTATCGATAGTAAATTATATTCATTCGTTTAATGTTTTAAATACTAACGACGGATAATTTTATTATTTGTTGCTCTCTATCAAATATATATATATATATATATTTACATCTAAAAGAAAGAGAAAAAGACGAAAAATGTATATTGATCACTTCTAGACGACAACGAAAGAGAGAAAAAAAAAAAATGTTTGACATTTCGTTTCTTTCTCTTCAAAATAATGCATCGTCAATTTCTTTGACAATACATAGCATTTACTGTTAAATAAACGCATTCCTATCATTTATTTTACTACTCCCTCTCTTGCAATTTACATACATTCATTTAATAAAAACAACTGAGAAATATGTTTGTCATCATTTATATATTACTATATTATTATTAAGATTTCAAAATAGTATCAAAAATTTTCTGTCATTTTTCTTTTTCTTCTGCGATTGTAAAAGTTATAACAAGAGACACATCATGTTCTGTTGAATGTTAAATATTTTAATCGAAACCCTCCCGGCAAACAGACAGAATAGTTAAAAAAAACGCGACGAAGACTAAAAAAAAAGCTTACTACGATGTATTTCGAACCACTCAATGTGAGTGTATGTATAAATAAATAGGTGAATGGGTATAGAATGTCTGTTGCTCACCACTTTTAAGTGCTACGTATCCATTCTACTAACTGATGATTTTTTTTTTTTTACTTTTATTAACGCCAATAGTGTCAAAAAAAGAAAAAGAAAGAACGATTGCGTTTTGTGACATAAAAAAGAAATACGTAAGTGTGAATATTTCTTTCTTTTTCTCTAAAATATAAATCAATGAAAAAAATATGTAAACAAAAAAAAAAAAAAGAAAAACCAAGAGAATAGATTTATATGTATGGTTAATGGAAAGATATCAAATGAACGAAGCACGCATTCAATTAGATAATTAAATAGAAGTAAGACGAAAGATTTGATAGCCCACCTCAAGGATTAGTCTAGGATTCATAATTGAACAATATAGAAAAAGAACGAGAGTCATTCTAATTGCTCTTCACTCTCATTTTTCTACGTGTTTCGAAATGTTAGTTGTGGGATTAAAGCAACAAGAAGGAGGAGACTAATTTTCTTTACTCTTTGTCTTACTTATTTTCTCGCTGTTTTATTCTTCATGTTCAATGTGACCCTTTTTTTTTTTATTGTTCTCTCTCTTTTCGAACCAATACGTGAATATGTATATACTTTTCTCGTCGTCGTACGATATACATGAGCTTAAAAGCAACAAAAGCTCTCTTATATTCTCTCAAGCAAACAAAGGTGAAGAGAAGAGACAACATCACGTCGTTGTCAAACGATGTTTTACTGCTTAATAGTCGTTAAGATATAACGAATGAGAGAATAGTAGATGTATTAATATAACATCGAAAAACAAGCCTTAATTATAGTTATTTTTTTTTTTTTTTGTTCAAACTAAGGTTTCATTTATAATATTTTACTGTAAATATGAAACGAAAGACAAAAAAACAAAAAAGAAAATCATATTGTGTATGGGAAAAAAAAGTGATTACTGAATTGTGCTATGTATTAAATCAATATGAGAATGAGATTATATATATATATGCGTATGTGAAGATAATTTATACAATCTATTTGTCTATGAGGATTAACAATTAATGATTTCAGTATACTAAACAAGGTTATTATATGGTAATAAAAATATCTTTTTCAACAAAAAAGACAAAATGTTATATATAGTTACATATAGATGATATTTCAATTTATCTTTCTATTGTTAAATTTTCATGAAGGATATCATAAATAGAACAAAACAAAAAAAAAAAGGTCATAAATGAAAATTGTTTCATAGAGTGAGAGAAAAAAAATTTGAATAATGTTCTTTAAGAATAGATTGTAATTTGATATTAAATTCTAGTCAAGAAAAGTATTTTATAGCCAGACAAGAAGGTGTGAATTTCGATATTGACATGCGATGATTGAAGAGGACTTTAAAGTGGAATAACAAATAAATATAAGACTGGTGAGATTCAGACTTCTTTTTAACTCAATTCAATATTTTCTATATTGATCGTCATTCTTATTATACTTGCTTAACTCAATCTATATTCTGTCTTGCTTACTTCCTATTAGTTTCACAAAATTTTCCAATGACATCTATTGTATATGAATAAAAGTACTTAGGTTATTGTTTTGTTTTAAATTATAATATACTTTCAGAGTAAACTAAATTTCAGTAATCTCTAATGTCTATATAATTAAATTGCATTATCTAACAAGAATCTAAATATTTAGTGTGAATACTCAATAATAATTATTATTAGCTGTTGCGGTATTTTTTTTAAAAACTACGCATGTTGTTATTTTTGTCGAAAAAAACAAGTTTGTCAGTCAAATGTTTTCTATGAATTATTGAATGGCATATCTTCGTCTTTTAATAGTTTTTTTTTTTCAAAATATAAATCTAAAAAATATTTATAGAACAATAATTTGATGAAATATATTTCATTAATTTCGTTACATTTCTAAGGTATCGATTATCTAAACAAAAACGAAAAAGAGAAACGAACAATACTTGAATCAATCAGAAAATAAATTTTGATTGGACAATTGTTCTTCGTTCCAGAAACCACAAAAAAAAGAATATAAGTTTATACTGCTTCACATGGATCCTGGATAAATGTTTTCTCTATTATTGAACTCAATACAATACATAAATAAACTCATTACTAAAAGAAAAAAAAAAAAATTAAAACTAGCAAAAGAAAAATTTTTGTTTTTATTAAAGTTTATTATAAACGTTGACGAACAATTTTATAAATAGCTGCTGTATATTCAATTATTAATGGTACACAACTACATATAGCAAATATTGGCCAAATACGTAAAGCACATTGATGTTGTAGAAGAAAAAATACGAGACCAATAGCAGCAGATACATGAATTACTATTGCTTTAAATAAAACGAAATAAGTTATTTACACTATTGGCAAAGAAATATGCATCACTAGTCCATAGGTCTTAGCCCCAATGAGAACTGAACGTCTAAAAATTCGTTTACAAGTAGTTTATATTAAAGCATAGTAATATCTAATAATTGTCCATCAATCTGAAAAACATAATACTATGCCTATGTTCCATAATTCATTATAAAATTCCCATCGAAAATTCTCTATAAATCTAGAATTGAATGATTTCTGTTGTTCCACAAAATTCTAAAGCTATGTAAAACTATTTTCTCAGTGAGATATTGACAAATGAAAATATTTTCTAACTTGGATCAAAGAGTAGCAAAAAATGAATTTTCTAAATGATGTCCTATTTATCAATCTTTTATTAGCGAATTATAGTCCAATTCATAGTCCTTCAGTTATTCAAAAAATGAGCACATTTATTTACATAAATGAGAATTCCAAAATTTTGACAAGTTCATGATGTACCATGTCTGCTTAGTAAGGTGTTTTCTTCCAAAAATTTTCAAAATACAGTCATCACTCATAGAAGAACATCTCCTAAAATTATCACATAGATTTATTAAACTCTCGCTGAGTTATTCACTTCTATAGTTTTCTTTTGCATACTCAAGTTTCCAGTAAAACCGATCTAATTCATCAATAGTTTTATGAACATCAATAGAGTTTATACAAGAAATAATTATCACACAGGGTTACTAAATCAAGGATTAGTCGACTAAAAGAACCTTTCTGTTCTCGAGCAACACGATTCACAGTGATCATAGACGTTATCTATTATGACTCCATACTAGTTCAAATAATTTTGACATTGATGTATAGTTTTCAGACGTTCAGCTCTTATTGAAGTTAACGAGGCGACCTCTACAGCTGTCTTCTTCCGACTTCAATGGTTTTTGTCTATAGATGCCACATAGTATTCTAATAAAAATCTTAAAAGAATTCGGATTCCACTAAGCTATCGAATCTCGGCCTAAGACTCAAGTAGACTTGTTTCCACAAAAAAAACTCAGAAGTTTTCAACATACTCTTCTCTTTGAGATATGAAGCATTCTGTATACACTCTTCATAGAAAAGGATCTACATCTTGAAAGTTTCATACCCCTTGAAGAGAAACTTCTGAGTTCTTTTTTATGGAAATTAGTCTAGTTGAGTTCTATGTATACGCAAAGTTGAAGATCAAAATTTGATAGATTAGTTAGATATCAATAGGAATTCAAATCCTTTTAGAACACTATGAAAAAAAAAAAGAATCATTGACATCGGAAGAAGACATACTTTCGACCAGTAGTGTATGTCATGTTTATTTGACATACCTAAAAATGAACGAGCAAAACTTATTGATGTTATTCCGAGAATTAATGGTACAAGTTCAATTACACAAAACGCAATTGATAAAGAATGTGCAGCAAATAATCTAAATACAAAAAAAAGAACGATAAAGAAAAACCAAAAAAAGAAAATTTTTCCTCAGTTTTACTGATTTCGATAAGAATTATATGATCCATTATCATTACAACCATAGACATTACGTTCCTTAAAAAAAAAAAAAGAAAAATATTTTTCAAAAAATTTAATTATTTATAACCTACCCAACTCCAAAAACAGAGTGCAATTGCAAGTAAATGAAGAACATGTGAAATGAAGCGTGCAGAAATAATTCGTAAATACATTTTTAAGATCAAAATAATATTCAATCTTCAAATGTATAAATTATTTTGAACGGTCAGTCAAGTAACCATAATTAACTATCGTTACTTGACAACAGCCATTGTCATAAATTTTGTTTTAAATGAAAATAAATTCTTAATCGATTTATAATATTCAAATAATAAAAATTCTTGTTTTTTCTTTCTAATAAATATTATAAATAAAGCTTGTCAATCAATTAATTGGCTTATTCGAACACCAATCAAAAAATCTTTGTGTTTCTTAGACATTGTCAACATTATTCATCATAGGTACTCAAGGATTATGGCAGATTTAAGGCCGATTATACCAAGTTGTATGTATAAAATCAGGTTTTTGTTTTTAATAGAATTATTAATATATATATTTTTTTTTGATTATTTATAGTTGTTGTACAAGAAGAAGGTTCACGAAAAGTTCTAGTCTATTTAGATATTCCTGAATTAAAAGTTAAACGATCATTTCCGAATTTTACAAAACAAATCCCACTAAATGGTGAACAACGAACACTTAATTTTCAAAATCAGTAAATTTATAAATCATTTATTCATATGTTCTAATTGAAAACTTTATTTAGATCATTTACATTTACATTATCTGTACAAGCAAAAAATAATGAAACAAAAATCTATTCATTATCAGTTGCACGATTACCAAGTGAAATTCAACCTGAACGATGCTCAATTAAAGTTTGTTTTTGTTATTTAAAATAAAATTTATTTCTTTTTTTTTTTTAAATCTATAGTATCAACGTCGTGGTTGTTGGATTACATTAATTAAATTAGAACGAATGAATTGGATGAATAGAATTTGTGATGATTTAGCACCTGGTTTAGATACTCAAGAAAATGATAATCAAAGTACGGAAGTTTCAGCTCCTGTTGAAGAAAGACAATTACGAGATACAAATATGCCACCACCATTTAATTTAGTACCTCTTGCTCCTCCTCCTCCTCGTCAACCATCAACGTCACTAAACAATCAAACATAATATGTCATATTTGCTCAGATATTTCTTTAGAATGTTTACAAAAATAATGAATTTAATATGTATATATATATATACATGTTCAATAGGAGGAAATTCTTTTTTCTCAAATTCTTTTTTGATGTTATTGTTTGTTTGTGGAATGCACAAATTTATGACCTTTTCGCTTTTTTTTTTATACCTCAAATCGCTTTGAATCAATGTTTGAAATAAAAAAGAATCCAGAAAGTTTTTTTTTTCGTATGATTGTTAAACTCAAAATTTAAAAAGAAAAATGCAGTAGAATTACCATATGAAAGAATCGAAAATCTGACATGGTAGTTTTCATTACTTAAAGTATCATTTTTCTTCATGAAAATAATCAATTACATTCTTGTTTTCTAATTCTATCTTTGAAAAGAAGAAATTAGATATGTACCAGTATCAATATGCTCGGCGACACTATTAGGAATGGGTGTGATTCCGATTCCGAGTTACAAGAATATTGAAATCGGAAGCATTTTCATGACAGGCAATAAAACTTTTCTTTATATTGTTGCCAAGAATTAAACTAGTCGTTCAGAAATTTATTTTAAAAAACAAGCACTATTTCTCAAAAAATAAATGATATATTTCAATTGAAGAGTACATATGTATTAATTTATAATTGCTATTTTAGTTACGCCGACAACAGTTAACTAGATGGTATCTAAGCTCAGCTTAGAGTGCGAGAAGGATGCGAAACATTTCGATTTTGAGTTTGCGACATTGCACAGATAACAAAAATTCTTAGTACCTATCGAATTGATGAAAATTGACTATTATTATTGAACGTTCTTGTTAAATTTATATCTAATCTTGCAAGAGTTACTATGGAAAAATACACTCCTTAATTTAATTTGCTCACATTGAGAAATTGCTGGGAATTCATGTGTTTTACTAAGTGTTTTGTTTAAATACGATAAATATCAATATTTAACTACTTCTGCATGTCAACAACTGTTCATTGATGAGTTATCATTAGTGCTAGTAATAATTAATCAACGTCTAGTCTCGTTTCATTATATCGACATGATGAAAACAAAATTCATAGATTATATAGTACATCAGAATTTTACTTTGAGTGAACGAAACATCATATCAAAAACCGGATAAAATTTGTAGCATATAGAGATCTCAACGTTTCAAATGACTTTTCAACAAGCATCAGATGATGTACTGTTCTTAAGATTATCGTGTTATAAAATATGGACTTTGTATGAGTAATTCGAGAAAGCAATTAGATTGCATTCGAGTTTCACTCGATTGCGAAATGCAGTACGAATCTTTGAATGTCGATTCTCGATAAAAATCAATATCTCATAAAAAACGAATGTTCGTTTCTACGATCAATAATAAAACGTGACGTTCATAATTTACAAAACTGAATTTCTGTACTGTCGCTGCAATTGGAAACTCGAAAAAGAGATGTGTTGATCAATCAAATGATCGAAATAAAAAAAGGAACTGAAAAGCAGGCATGGGAAAATTCATAACTATGAGAACTCTATCAATATGTAAAAACATATTGCTAAAGAACACTGTGGATTTATCGTTTAATTATATATATGATTCATTATTGATGATCCGCTGTAATGGATAAAAATTAGCTTATCGAGTACACTGGCGACTAATTTTTTAATCTGTCTTTATCTTTATTATCTCGACATTTGAAAGACAACAAAGTGTACAAAAAGGAGGAGGCCTTTTATCAAGCAAAGTCGCCCGTACGCTCCCTTCCCTCGTAAAATTCAATTGAATGTTAGAAAACCAAATGTAAGAAACAAATATTTTAGCTAGAGTCAGAATGATGATATATTCACACTGTCCACTTCACCCATCCTCTTCTAACATTAGAAACATTATGTACGTGTAAAAATGAAATTTAATAAATAAATTTTAGACGTGTACTAATTACTTCTGTTTTGTTACTGAATTCAAATATGAGGTATATATCAATAGAAAAAATTAATACTCGTTTGATTGAATAAAAGTAAATAATTTTTCTTAATTTTATTGTGTGTTCATTTCATAGGCTTTTCTTTATTGCCCTCACATCTTTATCGTATATTCTTTGTTGTTTTTGTTTTTACTTGTCCGATGAATTCTCACCGATGAATAATACCGTATTTTTGCATATTGATTCTCAAGAAATGTGCCAGAATATAGCGACATATCCATGAACTAGAAATCGACAATTCAAAAAACTTCAGACAATTCAAGATACATACACAACTTAAAAATCTATAACTCCATACTATCATACAATTCAAAAAAAGAGAGCTGAATTCAAGTAATTCTATTTAACTTAAAGCCATCAGGTTGTATGAGTAACGTAAAACATTTATTCTTCAATATTAGCACAAATTAAAAAAATTCAACAAATCGAAAACACTTAAAAGATATTTGGTCTTGTCACTAAATGAGAATAAGGATGACGTATGAATTGCTTCCAGTTAGATAGCTAGATTTATTTCAAAAGTTGCTCGTTTCGATACATACACCTGGTGAAATAAGAACAGAAGACTGTCGTCTTCACCCTCATACTATGATTTTATTGAATTTCTTGTCCTCATTAAGCTGCCTTGAATTACCTCTTTTTTTTTGAATGGTCAGTTTATGGGTCTTGCGTATTGTTGCCAAATTGCGTCTATATCACTATAAACACAACATTATAAGATGGTCACATAAGAGAGGAGAAAGAAAAACACACATCATCGAGGTCAACACTATTCAGGGAGAAGACATTCAGAGAAAAGAAAAAGAAAGGAAGTGAAGTATCACAGACATTAAATGTGTCACTGTATAATGGGAAATATCAAAGTAACGATGATTTTTTTTCGTTCTTGTTATGTCAAACTTGAATGTTTAGATAGCAATCTATTGCAAAGCAGAGAAAGAAGAAAGTCATGAAAAGAATTGATGAAAACAAAAATGAATGATGTTCTTCTTACGAAGATTACTGAAGGAGAAAGTATATCCTATGCATTGTCACTAAAATTATTGGGCAAAAGAAAGTAAGAGAAAGTGAGAAAGAATAGTAATACGAAAAATGACGTTGTCGGTTGTCACTGATCGTTTGTTAGGATATGTCAAACGAATAAATATTTTTGTTCTCTCTCTTTTGCTCGTGTTCTTCATCATAAATTTTCAACAAAAAATAGGTGCCCATGTGTTCGAATGCGATCGAATTGCAACGCAGTTACGCGTAACTGCGATCGCACTGTGACCCGTAATTGCGGAAAATTGCGGCGCAGCTACGCGTAACTGTGACGCAGTTGTTAAAAAAGTGACGACATGGGTGGAGTTCGTTCTTCGCTGTCAACGAAAAATACAAAAACATTGCGCGTAGTAAAAAAATAGAGAGAAAAGAGAATCAATAGATATATAAATAGAGAAAGTACTGTCTGTCTAAGCGACAACAGTTATTCACAATATTTGATTGACGATCAACGACTCATTCAAAGCAATATGGATGCACAAAAACCAATCGAGCCTGTGTCTACATCATCAAGAATTCCATTGACAACAACATTGGCACGGTCGACTAACATTCACTCAAGACACCGTATTTTACAAGATTTCCTCTTGATATGGTTCGATGTCAATATTGATGAAGCTAATAAAGATTGTAAAAGCATTTTGGCACAACTGCAGAGCCTAGCCAACGACGTTCATGTTTTCACGCAAAACGATGAATGTATCGACTTCCTCACACGAGTCGATGACAGGAAGGTGTTCTTCATTGTAGCAAGTACTATGCAACAACAAGTAGTGCCACTCATCCATGATATTCCTCACCTTGATAGCATTTACGTCTTTTCCGAAAATGAAGGTCGACATGAAGATTGCAGCAACAATTGGAACAAAATTAGGGGCATATATATGGACGTCACATCCATCTGTAAAGTACTGAAAGTAGCCATTAAACAATGCAATCAAGATAACATCTCGGTAAGCTTTATCAATGTGAATGAAGAAGGTTTCAGTCAAAATCTGAATCAACTGGAACCATCATTTATGTATACTCAATTATTCAAGGAAATTCTCCTTGAAATCGACTATAGCAAACAAGCTATTAAAGATTTTATTCAATACTGGCGCGACGAATACATCGACAACGCTGCTACATTAAACCGTATTGATGAATTCGAACGTGATTATTGTCCACAATCATCAGTTTGGTGGTACACTCGGGAGTATTTCCTCTATCAGATGCTCAACCACTCTCTTCGAACACTCGATTCTGACATAATTATGAAAATGGGCTTCTTTATTCGTAATCTTCATTGCCAAGTAGAAGAATTACACAAACAACAACTGAGAGATTCACAAAAAGAGACCCTTATTGTTTATCGAGGGCAAGGATTATCCACAGCTGACTTTGAAAAACTCCAGAAAACAAATGGCGGTTTGATGTCCTTTAACAACTTTTTATCCACCAGTCAAGATCGAGATGTTTCCCTTGTCTTTGCAGAAAGTTCTTCAACAGAAAGCGGTATGGAGGGTATTCTCTTCGAAATATCCATTAATCCTAATGTCACGTCAACTCCCTTCGCCTTCATCCAAAAACTGAGTTATTTCAATGAAGAACAAGAAATTCTCTTCTCAATGCACGCTGTTTTTCGTATTGGTAACATCAATCAAATGGTAAACAATAGCCGCCTCTGGAACGTTCAATTGACTCTCACAGATAACAATGACCAACAACTGGCTGCTCTCACTAAATGTATACAAGAAGAGATCGAGGGCGCTGAATTGTATCGAATTGCTCAACTACTGATCAAGGTAGGTCACTTCGATCGAGCCGAAGAGGTCTACAATAAATTACTCAACAACTCTTGCAGTGACAATGATAGAGCAAGTATTTATCACAATCTTGGATTGGTGAAACAGAACCGAGGAGAATACATAGAAGCCATTCCATTGTACGAAAACTCCCTCGAACTCAAGCGCAAAACTCTGCCGAAAGACCATCTCTCATTAGCCCCAACATACAGCGGGCTCGGTGGGGTATATCATAACCTGGCTGACTACTCAAAAGCACTACAACTTTACGAAGAGGCACTTAAAATAAGAGATAAAGAACTATCCTCGCAACATCCTCATTTGGCAGACTCCTATAACAACATAGGTGGGATACATCATCAAATGGGTCAACATTCGAAAGCACTAGAATTTTACGAAAAGGCACTCAAAATAAGAGATAAAGCACTACCCTCCTCTCATCCTGATCTGGCTCAATCCTACAACAACATGGGTGATCTATATCTTCAAATGGGTGAATATTCGAAAGCACTTCAATTTTACGAAACGGCACTTAAAATAAGACATAAAGCACTGCCTTCGCACCATCCTGATTTGGCTGAATCCTACAACAGCATGGGTGAGGTGTATCATCACATGGGTGACAACGCGAAAGCACTTGAACTTTACGTGGTAGCACTTAAAACATCCGAGAAAACCCTGCCTTCAAATCACCCTGCTTTGGCTACTTTTTACAACAACATCGGTCTTGCGTATGGCAATATGAGTGAACACTCCAAAGCACTTGAGTTTTACGAAAAGGCAATAAAAACCTACGGCAAAGCTCTACCTTCAAATCATCCTGCTTTGGCCACTTTTCACAACAATATCGGTCTTGCGCATAACCACATGGGTGAACATTCGAAAGCACTTGAATTTTACGAAGAAGCACTTAAAATAAGAGATAAAGCATTACCCTCGCATCATCCTGATTTGGCTGTATCCTACAATAACATTGGTACAGTGTATCAAAACATGGGTGATTACGCGAAAGCACTTGAATTGTACGATAAAGCAAACGAAGTTTTGAAAAAAACTCTACTCCCCAACCATCCCCATTTGGCTACTTCGTACTGCAACATCGGCCAAGTTTATTACAACATGGGTGACTATTTAAAAGCACTTGAGTTTTACGACAAAGCATTTAAAATAAGAGAAGAAGCTCTATCTTCGAACCATCCTGATTTGGGTACTGTCTACAACAACATCGGTCTAGTACATAACAACATGGGTGACTATTTAAAAGCACTTGAGTTTTACGACCAAGCACTTAAAATAAGAGAAGAAGCTCTCCCTCCAAATGATCTTGATTTGGCTACTGTCTACAACAACATCGGTCTTGCGTATAACAACATGGGTGAACACTCGAAAGCACTTGAATTTTACGAAAAAGCACTTAAAATAAGAGATAAAGGATTGCCCTCGCATCATCCTGATTTGGCTGCATCCTACAACAACATTGGTACAGTGTATCAAAACATGGGTGATTACGCGAAAGCACTTGAATTGTACGATAAAGCAAACGAAGTTTTGAAAAAAACTCTACTCCCCAACCATCCCCAGTTGGCTACTTCGTACTGCAACATCGGCCAAGTTTATTACAACATGGGTGACTATTTAAAAGCACTTGAGTTTTACGACAAAGCACTTAAAATAAGAGAAGAAGCTCTATCTTCGAATCATCCTGATTTGAGTACTGTTTACAACAACATCGGTCAAGTTTATTACAACATGGGTGACTATTCACAAGCACTTCAATTTTACGACAAAGTACTTAAAATAAGTGAAAAACTTCTCCCTCCAAATCATACTCATTTAGCTGCTGCCTACAACAACATCGGTCAAGTGTATAACAACATGGGTGACTATGCAAAAGCACTTGAATTTTACAATAGCTCTTATACAATCTTAGAAAAATTGCTTCCGATCACACATCCTAGCTTGGCCTCTTTCTACAACGACATCGGTCAAGTTTATTACAACATGGGTGACTATTCAAAAGCACTTGAGTTTTACGACCAAGCACTTAAAATAAGAGAAGAAGCTCTCCCTCCAAATCATCCCGATTTGGCTACTGTCTACAATAACATCGGTCTAGTACATAACAACATGGGTGACTATTTAAAAGCACTTGAGTTTTACGACAAAGCACTTAAAATAAGAGAAGAAGCTCTATCTTGTAATCATCCTGATTTGGCTACTGTCTACAACAACATTGGTCTAGTACATAACAATATGGGCGACTACTCGAAAGCACTTGAATTTTACGAAAAAGCACTTAAAGTCTACGCAGAAGCTCTGCCTCCGAATCATTCCCATCTGGCTACTTTGTATACCAACGTCGGTACCGTGTATTATTACATGGGTGACTATTCGAAAGCGCTTGAATTTCACGAAAAAGCACTCAAAGTAAGAGAAAAAGCTCTGCCTCCGAATCATCCTGATTTGGCTGTTGGTTACTTGAGTTTTGCAGCATGTTACGAAAGAATGGGTGATTACGCAGCTGCTCTTAATGCTGTTCAAAGTGCTTTTGAAGTTCAGGAAAAAGCATTTGAAGAAGATAATCCAGCTTTTGATACAACATACAGTTGGTTTGGAAGAGTTTATCAGGATATGAAGGATTATTCAGGAGCACTACTTTGCTTTGAAAAGTGTCTTGTAATAGCGCAGCGAACATTATCTGAAGGGCATCCGTATCAGGCTATTAAATACAGTAATATTGGTGATGTTCATCGATTAATGGGAGATTATGAAATGGCAGTTTCGTTCCATCGGAAAGCGTTAAATATTGCAGAAAATATTCAATGTAATTCTCTAGAATGTGCAAAGATATACACAAATTTAGGTGAAACTTATCGACAAATGGAAGATTATTCAACTGCATTGACATATTTCGAAAAAGGATTAGAAATACGTGAAAATAAACTACCAAAAAATCATCCTGATTTAGCTGTAATCTATCATAATTTGGCGAAATTATATTTGGCCAGTAGACAATATAGTATGGCAAAGAAAAATGTTCAACAAGCGGTAGAAATTGCTCACCAGAAACTGCCTTCGAATCATCCTCATCTATTGGACTATCAAGAAACATTTGAAAAAATTCCAAAGAAATTTTAAATTTTTTTTTTGTGGTTTGTTCAATAAATCTGTTTTGATTGCTATTTACCCCTTGCGGCTTTTCTCGACTCATTATCATGCACATGCGCGCGCGATCAGAGAGTTCTCTTCCCGCCGTGACTCTGGAACAGGTACACGCAGAGTGAATCACACCGAACTGATACAGCAATGAACGTGAGGATTACGTACATAACGACGATAAGTACCATAGGTTCATAGTATGCCTTTCCGAGCACTATACTGCTTTCGGCATAACAGCTCTGTTGAGTCTCGGTAGGTCACGCTACGAGACCATCTTGTGGACTGTGACATAAGCCGGTACCTCTTGCTATCACACAACAATATAGCTAGAAATAAAATTTTAACGTAGAAAAAAAAGTTTTTATCCTTTTAAATACGTTACGATTTATATATGCATGCATATTAAAAACACTATTCAATCCAGAATATATGATGTCTACTTTATCCTAAAACAATGTAGAGAAATACTATTGATGACTATCAATACTGAATCTATATTGTCTCTCTCGAATAACAAAAAGAAATTTTGTTTCACACTTTTCTATTCTTATACTCTCACTGAAGAAAAATAAATGATTTTAAAGCAACATATCTAGTTTTTCGATATTCGAAATATAATTAATAATTATTTGTAATTTCAATTTCTCTGATGTAATCATATTTTAATATAATGCAATTCAATTTTCATAAATTTTATGATTAATGATGATATAATATTAATAGTAATTCACGAATTGACCCAAAATGATGTCATCAAAGCCGATATTTCGACTTCGGAACAGTGTAACAATAAATTATATAAAAATAATGCAATTAAAAATTAAAATTAATTTTAATATCATAGTAATATTTGTATATCATCAATATGTATTTGTCAATAATCACATAAGAGTATTTTAATGTATAATATTCCTTATAAATACAAAAAAATACAATCATTGTAATAAATTTATATGGTACCTTCAAAAAAGAAATATATATTAAGGTGCGTGCTCAGTGTTGTGTTGTGAAGAGGAAATTGTCAATGGAACAGAATGATTTGTTCGAAAAAAACCGTTTCTTTTATACATTAACATCATTGGGTGCCTGTCAATGATATTCATGGATGAATGATTAATTAATGATTTGAAATATCATTGCATCAATAGGAGCATCGATTATCATCAACGAGCAGTCAACATAACTGATTTCCATCAGATCGATTAATAATTTGCTTATCACTTATATCTTTCATCGACTGTAAACCAATCGATTGTCTTTACTCTTCACAAAGACAATCATGGCTAGTGAAAAGAGCTCATTGACGAGTTATCATAAGATGCGCATGTAAGAATACTGGCACACTTTCTCAAAAGTATGCAAGATACTTGACGATTTATTAGAAGTACTCATCACTCAATGTAAGCATCTAATTATGTCGCAGTGATCGGATTTCGTGAGTTCCAAAGATCTGGAATTCTGAAACGTGCAACTTTGTAGTAAATCAGCAAGATAAACAGAAATGTCCTGAAATTATTTAGCAGGCTATATATCTGACCGCCACAAGGCGCCCACGCAACTTAGAAATTCAAGGAAACCTCAAAACCATGGAAACCAAGGCAGAAAAATGGACCCTATGATCCATAAAAATCCCAAGATCTAGAATCTACTTTTTCTCGCTTGATTAAAGTACTGCAATCCGCAGATTAGGGACGATACGAAAGGTTGTACCCGTACAATACTCCAGTGTCGAGTATTATTAGCCTCCAAAAAGAGTTTAATAGAACCAGTATCATTTAATCATTTGGCATTGATACGAGTAACAGTTAGTAGTTGCTCAGCATAGGTTTATTGACTGTTTTCTTGACTGATCAGATCTTTTTCCCATTTTTATAAGATCAATATGATTTTTTGCAATATTGTTTCATTCTGTATGATTCCTTATTCTTTGACTTAACCACTAATCAAATTAATATTTTGTCTATTAAGCAAAAAACGATGAAAGAAGTTGCATAAACCCGATTGATATTAACAGCGAGAGAAGTGGCTAAAATGTTATATTGCGTTGTAGTACTGGAAAAATTCATTTTTTACATAAGTCTAACTAGAAAATTTCTTCTAACAATAAAACGATAAAGGCTTTCTTTTAAGGAATAATGTGGTTTATTATCCACTAATTGTCGCCTTGCCATATTCAATATAATTAGTAGTATTAATAACTAAACTTCGATTGCACTTTTATATGAATAGCATAAATTTTTTTTTTTGTCAAAGAAGATATTCCTACTTGGGAAGAAACAGTCGATGTAGAAATATCTTTTAAATGTTTACAAGTATTGTTTGTTTGCTTTTACTCAAAAGTATTTTACTTGAAAGATTTGTTGATTTTGTCTGAAAATTTTGATTTATTTTTTAATAGAATATTATTTGTAATTTGACTATGTATGAATTTATACTAATTTCTCATTATTGTAAAAATATAAATCAAATGAAATATTATTTCAGTTGACTTGATAATGTTTTACTAATCTTGTTATTGTGCATTAATTTGGTATTTTCTTTTGAAACACATTTTGTCATGTCCATTTTATAGACATGTTTCTTATGTAATCAGTTGAATACATAAAAAATCGATGACACTCAATAGACAGTGAGAAATATAACATATGGACTCATACATTAAAACGAACTGTTCTCTTCTCTCCTCTCATAGCACTGTTAGGAGAATGAATTATCAAAAATAAGTTAAACTCCCAGAGAAGACGGATTGCAATAAATAGAGCAAAATTTGTTATAGATTCAAATTTCCGTGACATTTCTTTCAAGAACATATAGAAGAGGATTGCAAGAACGAACAATGATCCTCTTTTTCGTTCCTTATTTATCTAAGATGATACATTCATTTGAGCGGAAATAGTATTTTTTTCGATTTCTTCATATCTCCTTACCTGGGAATTAAAATACTTGAATATAGAAAGTCTCCTAAAACTGGCATGGATTTTTGAATATTGGTTTCTTTGTAAGACCGGGCAAAAAATCAGTGATACAATAATTTTTAAAATAAGAGAGATTTACCCGTAAAAACTAATTTTATCTTTTCAATTTTTTTTTTCGAGCACATATCCAATAGAGAGAGAGAGAAACATAGGCAAGGCAGAAAAAACTGAAAACTTTTAGTGGAAAAAAAAAAGAAATAAATTCCTTTCAAGAACACAGTCCTAACTAAAAACTTTTCCTAGGATCTGAAAATATTCACGTGAGAAAGTTCTTAATCAAATAGAACTATTCCTGCAAACAAAATTCTAGAAAAATAGAATATAACTATGATTGTTCAAAATAGAACTTGAAACAGCAATTTTTAAATTGTACTAAAATAATACCTGATGAACGTCTCTCATGAAAGAATATTGCCAGGTGTTCGCGTCACCTTGTAAGCTGATATTTTGCCTATAAGTAGGTCTTGATGAGCTATAAAAAATCTCCAAAGAGTTTGTACCCATAAGCGTTTCTTCCCGAATTTTGAATTGTTCGAGTAGTTTCCGTCTACATGAAGATAATAACAAATACTTTTTGATCACTATTAAAAGGTAGAAGACTGTAAATCTTTTTGAGAGTGAACTTAATGATAACTAGATTAAACTAGACTTTCCAACGTTGCAACTTTAAAAAGTTCACAAAAGATAATTCTCAAAATTTCTTGAAATTCCATTATGATTTTCTCACGAAATACAATTATTTATCGTACTGCTGGATAGTATATACTCGGTTTCATACGAAAATCATGAAGATGAACAATTTATATTCTAATGGAAATGGGAGAATCCAGTTATCATCAAATTCACTTTCAAAATAGAAGTCTTCTCGCTTTTAATAGTGACCAAAAAAGCATTTGCTATTACTTTCATATATATGAAAACTTATCAACCAACTAAAAACTCAGTAAGGAACTCCCATGAGTACAAACTATTTGAAGACTTTTCATAGTTCATCAAGGTCTACTCATGAGCAAAACATCAGTTCAAAAGGACGCAGACATTATGGAATTTTTATACAATTAAAAAGAAAAATTCTGTCAGGAATATATCGTTTGTATATACATAGCTTGACAAATCTTGTTTCTTAATGATTATTATAAATATCAATTTGTAATTAGAGTATCATAATATTTTGTATACATGACATCGATAACATCCGGAATGAAAAAAAAAACATGGATAGAAAACAGTTGTTTCATATTAAAATCTATATAGAAATATACATATTTATATTTGCTAATGTTATTCATCATGAATATAAGTTTCTTTTTTTTTTTTCATTTTTCTATAATCATTCATATTCATTGTCGGCATTTTATCATACAAATCAAAATGAAATTATTAAAAAGAAATTGCCGCTAAATCTTCTTTTTTTGTTTTTTGTTATTTCATGCTTATATGATTGAAAATACATTGTTTATATACAAATCTCTTGAAGAGTTTTACAATCTTTTTCTCGCATGTAAGAAAAGAATAAACTCATATATATTATCAAATCTTATCTCTTTTGTTCTATTGGCTTATTTTCTAATACGGAAATTCAATTATAATCATATAAATAGAGGTATTGAACGTTTGTAGTTGTCCGACTAATCAATGAACATATAGAAAACAGATCATCTTAAACATAAAAACATATTTAATAAAAATACTATCAATCGCAGACAAACTCTCTTTAGTAATACATTCAATTATTTTCTCTTTTTTTTTCCAATGTCATATGGTATTTTTCCAGTCGACTACTGATACAAGTATTATAACATTTAGTAACTTCTTTGTTTTTATCAATACAAAATAAAGGCAATCATTGAACTGTGAGAACTTATTAAAAACAGAGAAAAAAAAAAAAGAAATATATGATGAGAATCAATTGTTTTAACTAAACTCTCTTTCCATATATATATGTGACAAACATCTGAATTCTATTCAATCTTTCTTTTTTTTTTTTGTTTTTTATAATAATCC